ATTGAAATTTCTCATCGTTGAACTTCATATTGTTTTCTGCAGCCCAATGAAAGATTTGGTTGATGTCCGCCTGGAGCCTTGCAGTGTCTGCAATGGAAGACACTGTCATGCAGATTCGGGTGTCATCTGCAAAGGAAGACATGGTGCTGTGGCTGACATCTTTGTCTATGTTGGATATGAGGATGAGAAACAAGATGGGAGCGAGTACTGTGCCTTGTGGAACAGAGCTTTTCACCGTAGCTGCCTCGGACTTTACTCTGTTGACTACTACTCTCTGTGTTCTGTTAGTGAGGAAATTATAGACCATCGACTGACTTTTCCTGTTATTCCTTTAGCGCTCATTTGGTGCGCTATTACACCATGGTCACACTTGTCGAAGGCTTTTGCAAAGTCTGTATATATTACATCTGCATTCTTTTTGTCTTCTAGTGCATTTAGGACCTTGTCGTAGTGGTCCAATAGTTGAGACAGACAGGAGCGACCTGTTCTAAACCCATGTTGCCCTGGGTTGTGTAACTGATGGGTTTCTAGATGAGTGGTGATCTTGCTTCTTAGGACCCTTTCAAAGATTTTTATGATATGGGATGTTAGTGCTATTGGTCTGTAGTTCTTTGCTGTTGCTTTACTCCCCCCTTTGTGGAGTGGGGCTATGTCTGTTGTTTTTAGTAACTGTGGGACGACCCCCGTGTCCATGCTCCCTCTCCATAGGATGGAAAAGGCTCGTGATAGGGGCTTCTTGCAGTTCTTGATGAACACGAAGTTCCATGAGTCTGGCCCTGGGGCAGAGTGCATGGGCATGTCATTTATCCCCTGTTCGAAGTCATTTGGCATCAGGATAACATCGGATAGGCTTGTGTTAATCAAATTTTGTGGCTCTCTCATAAAAAATTCATTTTGATCTTCGACTCTCAGTCTGGTTAGCGGCTTGCTTAAAACCGAGTCATATTGGGACTTGAGTAGCTCACTCATTTCCTTGCTGTCATCTGTGTAGGACCCATCTTGCTTAAGTAGGGGCCCAATACTGGACGTTGTTCTCGACTTTGATTTGGCATAGGAGAAGAAATACTTTGGGTTTCTTTCGATTTCATTTATGGCTTTTAGTTCTTCCCGCGATTCCTGACTCCTATAAGATTCCTTTAGCTTAAGTTCGATGCTTGCTATTTCTCTGACAGTGTCTCCCTACGCATTTCAGATATATTGACCTCTTTTAGCCGCTCTGTTATTCTTTTCCGTCGCCTGTAAAGGGAGCGCCTGTCTCTTTCTATTTTACATCTACTCCTCATTTTTCTTAGAGGAATAAGCCTTGTGCATACATCGAGTGCCACCAAGTTAATCTGTTCTAGGCATAAGTTGGGGTCTGTGTTGCTTAGTGTATCTTCCCAGCTTATATCGGTTAGGACTTGGTTTACTTGGTCCCACTTTATGTTTTTGTTATTGAAGTTGAATTTGGTGAATGCTCCCTCGTGACTAGTCTCATTATGTCGGTCTGGGGCTACACGCATACATGTCTGAACCTCAATTATGTTGTGATCTGAGTATATTGTTTTTGATATGGTGACATTTCTTATCAGATCATCACTGTTAGTGAAGATGAGGTCTAGTGTATTCTCCAGTCAAGTAGGCTCTATTATTTGCTGGTTTAACCCTTTCAGGGTCCGTCCCGTAGATCAACGGCTTTACGTTCAGGGTCCAAACCGTAGATCTACGTCATGAGCTCAGCTCACTCTGATAAACTGTGAGTGGTAAATTTGGGCCTAGATATGAGAGAATACATCTATGTGGTATGTGTGCACCACATAAAACAAATCCTGCAGCACACTGTGTATAATGAGAGAAAAAAACTGAGACCATGATTTTCGATTAAAACAGTGACTTTGCAGTGTTTTTTCATATGTTTTTTATAGTTGTATTTGTGATTTCTTGGTCTCATTTGATAGAATGTAAGACATATTACAGAAATAGAGATAATTTTGATTGGTGTTAGCACTGGAAATGGCTTGAAATTGAGCTCAAAGTGGCGGAAATGTTAAATTTTTGCCGATGTTCAAGAGTAAACAAACGACCTCACACGTCTAATACACGCCAGCTGGTGGGTCTAATATACATTCACAAATGTGGTGATGATATTTATACAATTATTACAATATTGCATAACAGTAAATCATCTATTTTTTGGTGTGTATAAAAATTCATTATGTGAATAAAAAATCAAAATGGAATTTATTTGTAAAGCCTCAAAACATAACTAATGAACAGAGGAAATGTTAGTTTAGTGCCAGGAATACCTACATTGTTTATTCTGAACCCTATTTTGAAATTGGAATATTTTGAACTTTGTGTTCAATTGGCCAAATTACCAATTTCCGGTCACTTTATTTTGTAGTTGAAACAGTTGACTTGGCGATTTCTTGTGCTCAATCGATAGAATAAAAGTAATACTAGTGAAATAGCTGAGAATTTGGTCGACTAGAATAATGTAATTGGCCTAAAATGGGAGTCAAAGTCGGCAAAATCGCCGATTCGTAAATATCACTGACACATCAAAATTCACGAGAGCATAATTTCGTCAATTTTCCATCAAATTTCGTACTTTTTGTTTTATTACATTCACAAAAAGATTCTCTACCATTTCATAAGAAAAAATAAATTTTTTTTTTTTGAAAATTCTTGGACACTGGGGCACCACTTCAGATTTTGGCCTTGGACCCTGAAAGGGTTATATTGAATTTTGTGCAGAGATTTAAAAGCTCATGTGAGTGTGAGTTTTCATCAGAGCTGCCTCCTGGTGTTATTACTGCAACAATATTATTTGCTATATTCCTCCATTTTAGGTGCCTTAAGTTGAAATCCCCCAGGAGCAAGATGTTGGGTGCAGGAGCTGGAAGATTTTCCAGACAGTGGTCAATTTTTAACAGCTGTTCCTGGAATTGCTGGGATGTTGCATCCGGAGGCTTGTAGACTACCACAATGACTAGGTTTTGGTTCTCGGCCTTTACTGCTAAAACTTCCACTACATCATTTGAGGCATTAAGCAGTTCTGTGCAAACAAGTGACTCTGCAATGTACAGGCCAACCCCCCCCTTTTGCCTGTTCACTCTGTCACATCTGTATAGGTTGTAACCTGGGATCCATATTTCTTTGTCCAAGTGATCCTCTATGTGGGTCTCAGTGAAAGCCGCGAACATTGCCTTTGCCTCTGCAAGCAGTCCACGGATGAAAGGTATTTTGTTGTTTGTTGCTGGCTTTAGACCCTGTATATTTGCAAAGAAGAATGTCATTTTTAGTATATTTTTAAATGTTTATACAGTAGTGTACTGTAATAAACAGAATAGAGAAAATAAGCTCTAATATACATTACTTAGGTTTGCATACCAGTTGGAGTGTGTGTTGTAAGTCCAAACAGTCACTAGTGAGGAGAGGCTGTATTATAAATCTGGGTGGAAGAAATGAAGGAGGGAGGGTAGGGGTCATTTGGGAAACAGTTGGGAGGAGTGAGTAAAGGAGGTTTTTAAGTGCAATGATCTTTAACATATAACAGGATACTGTAAGCATGTTAGACCAGAGTGAGAGAGAAGTGATTTTTATGGCTTGATGTGCTGTTGGATTGTGAACTGGGTGACATTTATGAAGTGATTTAAGAAACCAATAAGCTGGACTGGAAACAGGAAGTACAGAGCCTGCACTTAACCCTTTGAAGGTTTCGGCCGTACTAGTACGGCTTACGACCCAGGGTTTTTGACGTACTAGTACGCCTAAATTCTAGCGCCCTCAAATCTAGTGAAAGCTGGTAGGCCTACATATGAAAGAATGGGTCTATGTGGTCAGTGTGCACAGTATAAAAAAAAATCCTGCAGCAAAGTGCATAATGAGAAAAAAAAAACTGACAGTTTTTTTTGGAATAAAACAGCGACTTTTCACTGTATTTTCGTATGATATTTATTGTTGTAATCTAGTTTTCTTGGTCTCATTTTATAGAATGGAAGACATATTACAGAAATTCAGATGATTTTGACTGGTTTTACAATGAAAAGTACCTTGAAATTGAGCTCAAAGTAGCAGAAATGTTTGATTTTTACCAAAGTTCAAAAGTAAACAAATCATGCCAAGTGTCCAATACACGTCAACTGGCGAGTCTAATATTCTTTCGCAAGTGCGCCAATATTATTTATACCATTTTTTACACTAATGCAGTAGTCTGCATAACAGTAAATCTTCTATTTTTTGTGAGAATAAAAAGTGGAAAGCAAAAGAATGTAAGAGGAGCCTTGAGACGTGACTAATGAACAGAGGAAATGTCATTTTAGTGCCAGGAATGTCTTTCTTGTTTACTGTGGACCCTATTCGGAAATTGGCATCTTTTGAAATTTGTGTGAAATTAGCAAAATTGCTAAATTCTGACCACTGTACTGGATAGTTGAAACTGGTAAATGGGCAGTTTCTTGCACTCATTCGATAGAAAAAATGGAGTTCTAGCGAAATATTCATGTTTTTTGTCGATTAGTACAGTGGAATTGGCCGAAAATGGGGCTCAAAATGGACAAAATCGCCGATGCGTAAACATCGCTGAGACCGCTAACTTCGCGATAGCATAATTCCGTAAGTTTTCCATCAAATTTCATACTTTTGGTGTCATTATGATCGGGAAAAGATTCTATCTTTTCATAAGAAAAAATTATTTTATTTTTTTTTTTTTACATTTGGCCGACGCTGCGAACGAGTCTTGGAGAGGGCCTGTTGACCCTCAAAGGTTAAAGGAGGGGCAAGATGTTGTAATTCAGAAAGGTATATGAACAGTGACATCAGCACACTTCTGGCAGGACAGCAGTCAAATTCACTTACTGTTTTTTTTTTTGGTGGTGGAGGTGGAGACAGAAAACCCACCTAGGTGGGAGATTGCAGGTATGTTAACAATAATGCCAGCACTTTCAACGAGACCTATAACAATCTTTAGACACCCAGCATAAAGTTATTTCCTTTAAACAACATGAAAAAATACTTGCCTGAATGGATAAGAAATATTCTCTCGAATAGTTATATTTTTCTGCTGATCCAAACATTCTTCATTGAAGGTGAAATAAGTGCTGAAGCTTGTGGTAGTTGCAAATGCACATATGCTAAATATCTGAAAAATGAACATTTCTTAAAATAAAACAGTAAAATGGACCAATCTAATATGTTAACATCTTCAACACTGCACATTATACTGATTTCTACCTTATTCTTAAAAATTTCTGCTCCATGGGTCTAAATTATAGAAAACTCCAAACTGTGGAATCTCTCATTCAGATTTTCAAATTAGATAACTTTCAACTTAAAATTCATAATTTTTCATTTATTTGGGAAAGTTGAGTGTATAGCATGTTTTCTTTCGATACGGAGCTTGGTACTCAAGTCAAGGCCAAAGCTACAAAATATTTTAAGAATAGGCTCAATGGAATTCCCAACTCAAAAACCACATTTTTAGGGGGGCTCTTATTTACAATGTTTCATTCATTGTTAATTAAGCAGTGTTTGCTAACATTTCAACAAATAAATTACAGTAGACCGTCGTTTAACACGGTAGTTACATTCCTGAAAATGCAGTGTTAGGCAAAACCGTGTTAGACAAACTGAAGAACTTACGGGAAAACTAGGGTTACATTCCTGGGAGCCCCCAAAAAGCCAAACAACTTTTTTTTAGACCAACAGATCTTACAAAAATAAAAATAAGTATGTAATCCTAGTTCATTGTTGTGATATATGATGCTGTCTTTACTGCTTAAAATTACAAATGCAACAGAAATAATAGTATTTCTTACATTAAATTGTGAGTGCTTGTGTACGTGAAGAGTTATGGTGTGCCCTACTGGGCTGAAATGGATGGTAGAGGTTCTAGTACTCAAGTCGATGGTTGTACTGGAGTGTGCATTTATCAGTCAAGTCAGTCAGTCAATTCAGTAATTCAGTCAGCAAGTCAGTCAGTCATACAGTTTACATGGAGACCTGGAGTTTACCTGGAGAGGGTTTCGGGTGTCAATGCCCCCGCAGCCCAGTCCGAGACCAGGCCTCATGGTGGATCAGGGTCTGATCAACCAGGCTGTTACTGCTGGCTGCACGCAAGCTGACATACGAACCACAGGCCGGTTGGTCAGGTACTGACTTTAGGTGCCTGTCCAGTGCCTTCTTAAAGACAGCCAGGGGTCTAATGGTAATCCCCCTTATGTATGCTGGGAGGCAACTGAACAGTCTTGGGCCCCAGACACTTAATGTGTCGTCTCTCAGTGTACTCATGGCACCCCTCCTTTTCATTGGGGGAATGTTGTATCTCCTGCCAAGTCTTTTGTTTTCATAGGGAGTGATTTTTGTGTGCAGGTTTGGTACCAATCCTTCCAGGACCTTCCAAGTGTATATCATCATGTAAATCTCTCTCCTGCATTCAAGGGAATACAGATCAAGGACCTTCAACCGTTCCCAGTAGTTTAGGTGCCTTATCGTACTTGTGTGTGCCGTGAAAGTTCTTTGTACACTCTCCAGGTCTGCAATGTTGCCAGCCTTTAAGGGGGCTGTTAGTATACAGCAGTATTCCAGCCTAGAGAGCACAAGCAATTTGAAGAGAATCATCACGGGCTTGGCATCCCTAGTTCTGAAGGTTCTCATTATCTATCCTATCCTTTTCCTAGCGGGTGAGGTAGATACATTGTTGTGGTCTTTGAAGGCAAGATCCTCTGACACTATCATTCCCAGGTCCTTCACATTACTTTTCCGCTCTATTGTATGGTTAGAATTTGTCATATACCCTGACACATTTTTAATTTCTTCAAGTTTCCCATGTCTGAGTAGTTGAAATTTCTCCTCATTGAACTTCACATTGTTTTGAGTGGCCTATTCAAAGATTTGGTTGATGTCCGCTTGGAGTCTCGCAGTATCCTTGATGGAGGTCACTGTCATGGTAATCCGGGTGTCATCCGCAAACGAAGACACGGAGCTATAACTTACATCTCTGCCTATGTCAGAAATGAGGATAAGGAATAGAATGGGAGCGAGTACTGTGCCTTGTGGAACAGCTTTTTTCCGTGGCTGCCTGGGACTTTGCTCTGTTTACTATTACTCTTTGTGTTCTATTTGTCAGGAAGCTGTAGATCCATCTACCAACTTTTCCAGTTATTCCTTTATCACACATTTTGTGTGCTATTACACCATGGTCACACTTGGCCAAAGCTTTTGCAAAGTCTGTGTATGCTACATCTGTATTTTGTTTATCCTCTACAGCATCGAGGACCTTGTCATAGTGGTCCAGTAGCTGGGACAGGCAGGAGCGACCTGCTCCAAACCAGTGTTGCCCTGGGTTTTGTAACTGATGGGTATCTAGGTAGTTGGCTATCTTGCTTCTTAGAACTCTCTCTCAAAGATTTTTATGATGTGGGATGTTAGTACTATCAGTCTGTAGTTCTTTGCAATTGCTTTACTGCCACCTTTGTGGCGAGGGGCTATGTCTTATTTTTAGTGTGTGTGGGAATGACCCGTGTCCATGCTCCCTCTCCATAAAATGCTGAAGGCACGTGATAGGGGCTTCATGCAATTCTTGATGAACATGGAGTTCCACGAGTCTGGGCCTGGGGCAGGGTGCATGGTCATGTCATTAATTGCCTCTTCAAAGTCTTGTGGACTTAGAATAATATCCAAGATTTTTGGGATGACCAAATTTTGGGTTTCATTCATGAAGAATGAATTTGGATTGTCAGCCCTTAGTTTAGGCATTGGCTCGCTCAACACCAAGTCTGTGGCGGCCTCCTACCAAACTAGCGGTTAAATTGCTAACCTGCCGGCCGGCAGTACCAAGGGTACGTCATCAAACCCAATGTGGGACTGCTGAGCCGGCCTTAGAAGCAGTATTTACCAGAACACCTTACGGTATACATCTACTGGCAGTAGAGAGTATTCATCTGACCATCTTATGGTATATATCTACTGGCTTTAGAAGGAGCGCTCACCGCAGCTCACCGAGTCTGATGGCCTCAGTTACTTGATGGCTGCAATCAGTGAACTCACAACATAGTGTGTTTTGCAAGCAGTATTCACCAGACCACCTTACGGTGTACATCTACTGGCCTTAGAGAGTATTCACTTGACCGTCACGGTATACATATGGCCTGTTCCTGTGTGACACAGAGAAGATAGGGTCGGAGTGTGACAATGAAAAGGGCTGGGACCGTAGTGTGACACTGAAGGAAGCATGACAGAGTGTAACACTGAAGTAAGATAATAGGATCGTAGTGGAACACTGAGAAGATAGTGTCGTGTGACACTGAAGGAAGATAGGGTCGTAGTGTCACTGGAATGGCCTCTCTTCAAGAAGAGATCTCCTTATTCAGTAACTGGTGATGTCTACGGACTCACCACCGACTCTAGTCAACTGCGAGCCAAGTCATGCTGATGCTGTAGTGTGGCACTGAATGAAGATAAGGTTGGAGTGTGACACTGAAATGGGCTGGAATCGTAGTGTGACACTGACGGAAGTATGACGGAGTGTAACACTGAAGTAAGATAATAGGATCGTAGTGGAACACTGAGAGACGAGGGTGTCGTGTGACACTGAAGAAGATAGGATTGTAGTGTGACACTGAACAGTGTCGACAGGCTGGCCTCTGAGAAGAAAGATGCTAAGCAGGTGTTACCGAGATGAATTAATTACAACTTATTATTGTGGAATTTATATATATGTACAAAGATGTTACTTATATTATTATTATTTAGCATATATATAAATATATATATATATATATATATATATATATATATATATATATTCAAGGTAGTAGGTTGGTAGACAGCAACCGCCCAGGGAGGTACTACCGTCCTGCCAAGTGAGTGTACAACAAAAGCCTGTAATTGTTTTACATGATGGTAGGATTGCTGGTGTCCATTTTTCTGTCTCATAAACATGCAAGATTTCAGGTATGTCTTGCTACTTCTACTTACACTTAGGTCACACTACACATACATGTACAAGCATATATATACACACCCCTCTGGGTTTTCTAATATTTTCTTACTAGTTCTTGTTCTTGTTTATTTTCTCTTACCTCCATGGGGAAGTGGAACAGAATTCTTCCTCCGTAAGCCATGCGTGTTGTAGGAGGCAACTAAAATGCCGGGAGCAAGGGGCTAGTAACCTCTTCTCCTGTATATATTACTAAATGTAAAAGGAGAAACTTCGTTTTTCCTTTTGGGCCACCCCGCCTCGGTGGGATACGGCCGATGTGTTGAAAGAAGAATATATATATATATATATATATATATATATATATATATATTATATATATATATATAGTGACACAGTAGTGTCAGAAAGTTGTACCCTGTGTGTGGTAGGGTCATGAATTATAATTTATTTAGGATTTGTTGTACAAAGATGCTAATTATAATTTATTATTGTAACATGTATATGTGTATATTATCAAACATAAATATTTACAGAATACCTCTAGACCAAGGACTGTTTTTATATAATATTAAAGATAATTTATTTTAATGTTTATTTTGTATCCCAAACTCTTATATTACGACACTAATGGAAGGCCAATTGGTGTTTTTGTAAGAGTCATACTGGGACTTTAGTATATCACTCATTTCTTGGAATGTCATCTGTGTATGTCCCATCCTGCCTAAGCAGGGGCCCAATACTGGAGGAGGACGAGGAGGAGGACGGCGACGACGACGCCTCCTCATTATATACTTCCACATATCCAAAACATTGCTGGGACATATAAATACTTTGTATATATTCCAAGACAATAGTAAATGGCCAATGCAGGTGTAAATGTCCACCTGTCAGTGTGTTTGTGACAATTTGAGTACAATTTCAGTACCTAATATTAGTGTCAGAACAAAGATTGGTTATAAAATGACAAGAACTACTACAAATTGTAATTATCAGAACATAAAAATTATATAAAATACGAAAAATAGAAAAAAAGGTATATCGGCAACACTTCTGCAAGCGGCAGGACTATGTTGCCATCACGTGAGCATCCAGTGCCAACTTCTTGGCCTCATATCTCGGTAAGAAACGACCCTAATTTTTTTTTTATTCTAAAATACGTCAAAAAATGTGTTCTTTTTTTTATATACAGTGGACCCTAA